ACAACAACAACAACAACAACAAGTATTATCATTATAATATCATCCCGCTTTTATCCCTATCTAAAACTATGGCCTGCCGGCCTGCAACGATATCGCCAAACTTGCACTTGCTGTTTGATCGTGCTTACCTACTTCTCGCGTGGCTACTATCATAACAATGTTGGTGCTAGTGCTACTACTCTGTTTGTTGCTACTGGTGCCAAGTGCTACTCCTAGTGCTGCTGTTCTGCTTCAGTCCAAGTCTCAAACTCCTCCTCCGACTTCCCCCCACCGATGTGGATGTTGTTGTTTTTCTCGTCGCCGATGGTTGTCTCCCATGCGAAGTGCGTTCGGCCGCCCTGACTGAAAAGGGGAAAGATTGGAGGACGGGGGGAGGGTGCACGTTGCCTCATCGTCGTGCCATTCAAGCATCCGAGCCCAGCCATTTAGGCATTTCCATGGTCTTAGCGATGATAACAATGGAATAGAACATCTTATTGAGTCAAAGCATGCACTTCCTACGCCGATAAGCGACTTCCCTTGGCTTGAAACCCCATATACTCCAACTTCTTACGCAGTGGCCCAGCTGCACCTGCTGACCCAGACCAGAAGGACAAGATGTTTCTCAGGGTTTGGGCTCCCTGGGGGGCGGGTGTCATGTAGAAAGATCGACGTAATACCTCGGGTTGCAGAAGGATTGAGCAAGCCCTCTCATGCCAAACATGGAGTGATTAAGGTTTGTTGGTCTCTTTTATTGATCAGGCTTTAGGAAGTTCATGATGAGAAAAGGTCAAGACGTCATTCACAATGTCCGATCTGCAATCATTTCTGCCAGGATTTCATCTCACTCCCCATATTTGATGTGCCGTCACCCGACAGTCAGCTAAGTTTGGCGGCAAGAGCCTGTGAGCTACAGGTTATTTAGGGATTTTATTGGGATAATGGAAAAGAAAATGCAAACTGTAGGGATTATATAAGGGTTATATGGGGGCCATAGAAGGGTTATACATATGTGCAATTGCTCAACTCTTTACTGCACGGCCCCCGGAAGAAAAGTGCCTGTGATGTGCAAAAATACTCTCCATGTGAGAGTCTCTCAAAATTGCCCCTATGGAATGTGGAATAGTACAGAGCATCAAAAGTTGGAGGGCCCTTAAGGGCCTTCTGGCGCAGGAAGCCTTCATATCTACACCATATCACGCTCCACAAGCTCCTCAAGTTCTTTCTGCAGGCATTCTGAGGGCCTACCAGCTCTGCCACACGGGCTTAGCCCGACTACTTGAGCTCTAGGGGCGTGCCTTAGGCAAGTAGTCATGGCCAACAAAGACGCGAGTCGTGTCCGGAAGTTCGAGGATGCGCTGAATGGATGAGTACCTGAACTTGAAATTCAGATGGAAAGATGACCTGGGGCGCGTTTCAAATATTCAGGGTTTTGGGGGTGGGCGGGGCTCGTTTAGCTTTCCAACTTATAAAGTTGAGGAAAGTGGGACCCTGAGCAATTGTAAGTTGTAATTTGAATTTGTCTTCAGGGTTTAGGGATGAGGGTTCTGGATTTCGGGAGTTGGGATTAGGCGCCCCAGGGATTACAATGGGGCAATGGCATGGGAATGGGCCTTGAGGCCATCCTGTTTTCTGGCGTTTACTGGGTTACGGTTGAGCCACTAAGAAACACTAATGCAGGACCAGGTTAGCATCATTGTTGCACAACTGGGCCGTAGTGTTGTGACCCTAAAGAAAGCTCCCGACTACCTTGTGACGTGTGAATCAAACCCTCCCGATGCCAAGAACCCAAAACACCCAACCCTAACCCCGAAACCCCCGACCCCAAACCCTAAACCCCTGCCTAGAGCTCGGAAGTACCCATGAGACTCGCCTACGCTTCCAGAGAGGCCAACATGAAACCCCAAAAGGAGCCCTATAAAGACCATTGTGCTGTTCCCGAGGGGGCTATAAGACTTACTGGTTCTTAGTAGGGAATATGGGAATATATTTTACAGGGATTCTATATGGTTCCTAGATTCCCTCCAGAGATTGCATGTTGGTTGGGGGACGGCAGTAGCCTGCCAAGACTATGGGGACATGGACATAGACTATCTTGAGTGGTGTTTGGGGGGCCGGGTCTGCCCCAAACTAAACCCTAAACCCTAAACCCTAAGCCCTAAGCCCTAAACCCTAAACCCTAAACCCCCCTAAACCCTAAACCCTAAACCCTATTCGTGAGTGCAATTGCCTACATCAAGCCTCGGGTCCAGAGCACCTCAGAGTCTCGGGTCCATGTTTGTTACCTTTCCTGAGCTTGCTTGCTTCCTCTCGCCAAAAGCCCCACCAAAAGAAAACCCCAAACCCGAAACCCTAAACCCCACTCAAAGAAGACTCTTCTGGGAGAGGGTTTACAGTGATACCCAAGGCGCAGAGTTTTGGAGGAGCCACCAGGAAAGTCGCACCTGGAAAGCTGGCAACTGTGGTCGTTTGGGCTCAGGGGCATTCAAGGATTCGGATGGCGCCAGGATGTTGGTGCTAGATCTACTTGAGATACACTTGGGGTTTAGAATTTTGGCGGTACAACTATTCAAGATACAGCTCAGATGACCAATGAGTATCTGCCAACAATATGAAACCTTATGGGGCTACCTGAACCTCAAACGCTCAGCCTTTTGGGGAGACTTTCAGCTAGTGCGGGACCCTAGCAGGACCCAGCTTTGCACTCCATGTGTTGGCTTCGAGCCCAAACCCGAAACCCTTATCCACAGGAATGCTACACTCCGCTCTTTCCATCAGGAGCCCAGAAGATGACGTAGAGTTTTTGGGACGGTCTACAACCCTAAACCCTAAACCCTAATGGTCCCTACATCATCCGGGCAAAACCACGGATTCCTGAAACATGCTTCCGCCTTCAAGTTTAGGCTTCTCGCATGTGCTCCTGTAGGTCACAGGCCCCAGAATCTGGTCTTCATAAGAGCTCTGAGAGACCCTAAGGATATACTCACTTCTGTAGGAACTAGGATTTAAGGTTTTTGATTTAGGGCCTTTTGAAGATCACATAGGTGCTGTTTTGCGAAACTCGCACCTGGCAGTGCCATAGTCAGGCATGAACAACGTGTCGCCAGTGAAGAGGGCGTCGCCGATAAGGTAGCAAACACAAGCCGGTGTGTGTCCAGGGGTGTACCTGACCATGTTGATGTTATATACATATATATATATAT